CAAACTGGCCAACAACTTGCAAAATCTTTAATCAGATAAAAAGTTTTAAAACATTACATGAGACACGTAGCTAAAATCCAACTAAGACCCCATGGAGTCACATTATAATTTAATAATTAAAAAAGGAAATTAATTTATTTCTTCTAGAGTGAATATAAATTTTACAAAAATGTTCTGATCTTTTAAATTATGGTTTTGATACTACATCTTCTATAAAAAGCATATATGCTACCTATCCCAGTTATATTAGCTGCCAACTACAAGAATTTGCTTTTTAATTTTCCTAGATTACTCTATTGAAATATTATTCATACAATATCTGCAAAATGGTACTAGAATATTAATCCTTCAAATCTGTCAAAAGTAATCTTCAAGAGGAAAATCTGGTAGGCTCGGGGGCTGTGATGATTTCACTTCTAGTTTTATGTGCCTTCTTAACCCAGATACTTAAATTGACCATATTTTTACCCTGTAGTAAAGACATACGTCATCCCAAGCTGGGAAAATGTTACCAACTCACACTGAGGGACTGTAAAATCAAAACACCCAAATTCCTCTTTCACGTTTAAATTTTCAAAATTTAAAGTTAATGTATTAAATCTCTTTTTTCAGGATTTAAACTTGTCTGGTATTTAAACTTAAGAAATACAAAGAAAAAGAGAAGTACATCATTACGGTTAAAAGAAATCCAAATGATACCTCAGAATCACTCCTTTCAGTCTTCTTAAAACATCACTTCCTTTGCACTACCTTCCCCTAGCCCTGCAGACAAATCAGTGAATACCGCCCCTACCACTCCAGATTGTTAAAAGGATCCACTGTCCACAAAGAAAGCACTATGATCCAAGTACACTGCCCAAGTGATCTTTGATGCCTTGAAAGACACCTACTTGTAAAAATGCCAAAGTCCTAAATTAGATCCCCAAGGGCTCCTTTTCTTTCTTGACCACACTTCTCCTTTTCAATCCTTCTCTCAACCCTTTGGGCCAGATGACTTTCCATCCAATAGCCTCTTCCACTCAAACCTAACTCCTGCCCTCCAATACCTCCGTCCCCACGCCGGTCAGTCGGCTATCACTCCAACACGGTTCCCTCTTCCTCGCCCTGGGGTTAATCCCGGGCCAGGCCTGCTTCTGAGATCCCTTCTCCCTACTACCAAAGCCCTGAGCATCTCCTCCTCCGGGTGCACATTCCTGGGGACTCCTTCCATCAGTGCTCTGCTCTCAACAGCTCCAAGCCCTAGCCTCTCCGCGTCCTCCAGTCCTTCACGCGCCTCAGCCTCTACCGGCCCCTCGGCCACCGGCGTCGTCACCCCTTCAGGCCGTCGGCTCAACAACCTCCATTCCCTCCAGATTCCATTCTAGAGCGGACTCTCTTGGCCCCCTCAACCGTCTCCCCGCGGTCCCTCGGGCTCCCTGCCCCTCAACGCCCCCGGCTCCACCCCTGACTCCTCACTCACCCTTGGCTGCAGGCGCCCCCCAGTCTCCCCTCTCCTCAGCCTCAGCGCCCGCTCACCTCCGCGATGGGAGTCGGGCTTCCCCGACCCGCCTCCGAGTCGGCGTCCGAGGCGCCGTCGGAGTCCCGGGCCCTTCGCGCCTCGCCGGAGTAGAGCACTTCAAGCGGCGGGGGCGGAACCCGGGGCGGAGAGCCGGAGTGGAGGCGGGAGCGGTGGCGGCTGCGCGCAGGCATCGCTCCGGCTCCGTCACCGCCGCTCCGGCAGCTGCTCCGTGCCGAACCGGAACTGCTTCGGGAGGCGGAGCACTACCGGCAGGAGGCGGAGCACTACCGGAGAAGGGGCGTGGCCAAGACCGGAAGGGACGCGAGATTCCAGCCCACCGGAGAGAAGAAAGAAGGGAAAACGCTGCAGGGGAGCCTGAGAGCGCATGCGTCAGGCCCGCCGCCAAAGAGGGCTGGTGTAGATTAAGGGAGGAACCCAAGGGATTGGTAAACCGAGTTGGGGATCCGGAGGAAGTTACCCTGATTCCTTTGCAGAAGACCAGCTCCTTTTCAAGAGCCAACCCCCAATGATCATGGCTATCGTAGACCTCTTTTATTCACTGACAATGTCTATGCCAAATGCCATATAAATATCTCAATCCTCTTTTCAGCTCTACAAAAGTAGATCATACAACACAGAAAGGCCAAAAACATCATTTGCTTGACATATCACAGTAAATCTGTGCCCAAACTGGTATTTTATCTAAATCTACCTACCAAGCAAAATTCTCATTCTACAATGCTACCCCACCCTAAGAGAAGCCCCCCCCCCCCGCCCCCAACCTAGCCCTAGCTTTGGCAGAAACCAAATCTAAAGCCAGCTGCATCCTGGGCTCGAGATCCTTCTTGGCCTTGCCTCCCGATACAGTACCAGACCAGTTTTTCTGACACTGAATGGGATGGGAGCATGCTCCATGTGGACAGGAGTGCAAACTGTTTCCAGGGTATTCCCTGGAATTGTCTTTACCCTCAAGTCGGACTCAAGACCAGGAGCAGCTGGGAACATGCCCAACAGAGCTCATACCTCTCCAAGGCCCATCAGGGTCCCTATGAAGTCACACGAGGGAGGGCAAGACATCTCCTCTCTTTTGCCAACAACCAGCTCTGGCAGCTTGTCAAGATGGGCAAAAGGTGTGACTTATGCAGTCGAGGGGGAGAAATAAAGAATGTCCACACGCTTCTGCCCTTTTCAATGCTTTATTCACTCAAATCACTCAATACAATTTCATTCTATAGGTTCTTCATCAAGAAAATGACAATCCTTAATGCTAGGCACTGCAATAGCCATAATCAATTCACAGCAAACAATTCTAAGCACTGCAAACACACTTAATCATGACCGGCTCATGACAGATATTCCCTCTGCATGCTAAGTTCAGGTGTCAGATCAAAAGTTTCAAGCCTTGGGCTCTAAGTCCAGCAGATGCACACTCACTCAGACATGGTTATCAGATCAGGAACCAAGGCAGGCTTTGATAGACCCAACCTGATCTTTTCTTAAAATTGGGAGCCATCTAGCCACAAAGCCATGAAAAGATAATTTTGGCTTTACTATAAATTACTGCAAATTCTGAACCTGCTTGGAATGCCTGCCTGTGCCTTGAACTCACCCATGCCTGGCTCTCTGACCAGATAGCAGCCCTCTCTCAAACTTTAGTGATGCCTCACAAATCTTGGCCTTCCCTGGCCAGATAACGACGAGGCTCTAATGGTCCTCATAAATTCTGATGTTGGGGCCAGCAAAAAATGTAAACTACCATTAGTGTGATGCTTGTCAGAGTTCTGTTATCTGTAACCCCCCCCTTTGTGTAACTTTCTGGGCTATAAAGCTGGGCTGCAGGAAAGCTGGGGTTTGCTGTCTTGTTCCCTCTGTTTTGGGAGGGAGAGGCAGCCCGGCCGGTCGAAATAATAAGATTGCTTTAATTTGATTTTAATTGGAGTCAGTGGTCTTTTCTTGCGTCCTGGTCTAACAGCTTCTCCTGGGGTGGAGCTGATGGCCGGTTGAGGAGAGTGTTGTAGGGAGAAGTCGTGGCTCTCACCAGGTTCAAGATGTGGCTGTAGAGTTTGAAAGGTGAGGAAGTTGCAGAGGATCAGGCAAATGATAAGAAGAGTTGGGATGTCAGTCCAGATCCTCATCAGGCTCTCCAGCATGAGGGCTCAATGTCAGCTAGCTGAATGTCTGTTCATTTGCTCCATACTAAATTTTGGGGCTTGTGACCACCCTTTCAATCCCTATCAGCTGCCACCGGATTTCTCAGTGATGTCATTTGCCCTGGGGTTAAAGCATCTGGTCTGGTGGTCCCCACCCTGATTTTCTTGCCTTTCCTCCTTATTGGGGTGAGGACAACATGACAGAGACTTCACTATGAGCTTATCAGGGTGGGGAGAAGTGACTTGTTTGTGCTTGAGGGCCATACTGGAAGGCTTCGCAGGTGTACCTGGTGAGACTGCAGGTTTCAAATGGAGTTTTAAAATGGAGTTGACCAGCTCAACCTTTTATCAGTTTCTATTCTGGGGCTGAAAGCCCTGATAGGCAGAAGAATCTCCCTCCTACCCTCAAAATATTTCTGATGACAGGCCCCTTTGGCTCTTAAAGTCTAGAGCAATGTTCACTTCTCTTTCTTTGATATACAAGGCCCCTTCAACCTTTTTTTGAAGAAAACTAGCCATTTTCATTACAGGACTGTTGTTCAAACCTCCTGTAAACCTTGTGAGTACCCTTTCGATGCTGTACTCCATGTCTCCTCCCCACATTTCTCTTGACACTACAACTCAGAAAACTGCCCTGAGCTCCACAATCCAGAGGCCCATCCAAAATTCAGGTCCCACCCAGTTTGTGGCCCTCCCAGACCTACAAAGTTTCTTCTATCATTCATCCTTAGAACCAACCACCTTCTCTCCAACCTGTTTTAACTTAGTCCTCAGAACCAAGTTAGACTTATTGGCCAGGCGCAGTGGTGCATACCTATAATCCCAGCGGCTCGGGAGGCTGAGGCAGGAGGATGGTGAGTTCAAACCCAGCCTATCAAAAAGCAACTCAGTGAGACCCTGTCTCTAAATAGAATACAAAACAGAGCTGGGGATGTGGCTCAGTACTCGAGTGTTCCTGAGTTCAATCCCCCATACCAAATAATAATAATAATAATAATAAGCCTTATGCAGGGCTCTAAACCTATTAATTCAAAAACTGTTTCTAAGCATCTACAATGTGTTAGAAATAGCACAACCTTTGTTTCATGTAACCTTTGGAACAATAAAAGATGTGATTATCCTTATTTTACAGATGAAGAAACTGAGGTTAAGGGAGGTAGTGATTTGCAGGGGTCTATCTGATTCCGTGTTCTCAAGAGTGTGGGGGTGGGGCCTAGCTTGGGAGAAACAGGCCTCTGGGACTTGCTGAGTCACTTACTCCCGTCCCACCTGTCCCTGCCAATCTCTGGGAAGGAGAAATAACACTGGAGAAGCAGAGGAGTGTAGAGGCAGAGGGGTAGGCAGGCTGGCCCATGGCTGAGGCCTTGCTCCCAGAGCTGGAGGGAGATGCCGAAGCCACGCCTTGCCCCAGTGTCCTGGAGCTAGAGGAGCTCCTCAGGGCAGGGAAGGTCTCTTGCAGCCGTGTGGATGAAGTTTGGCCCAATCTTTTCATAGGAGATGCGTGAGTGGTCACTGGTAGAGGGATGTGAGGGTGGCGACAAGGAGAAACAATTTACCTTACATGGGTGTGTGTGGAAATAAGGGGGAAAGTTCTATTCTTAGCATCCCCAAGCCAGGGACTTTCTCCAGAACTCCCACCTGCTGGGACAATGCAGTGACCAGATATGGCCACCAGGGGGAGTGTATATATATATATATATATATATATATATATATATATTTTTTTTTTTTTTCCCTACCTGTAAAAAGGGAACTTCCCAGAAGTCCTGGAGTCTTCTGGCACATCCAGGACAATTGGCCAGAGGACTGGGGGAAAGTATATGGGGTATGACATGCGGTAGTCAGAGATCCCCCTTTCTGATTCCAGCCTCCTTCTTTTGGACATAGAGTGGGTGGAGAAATCTGACTGAGGGTGAATCAGGGAAGGTGTCACTTCTAGACACTTGCAGATTAGAGGCAGGTATAAGCCGATGACCAAGAGAAACCGGATGTATGTGGGAGGATGTGGGGCAAGAAGGGAGAGGAAGGGCTAAAGCAATCCCTTCTTTCCTACCCTGCCCAAGGGCAGATTGCCTGAGGAAGCCAAGAGGTTCTAAAGATAACCCGACACTACCAACTCTCCCACCAGAAAGCTCTGGGGGTGGGGCATGGGCAGCAGACCCTAGCTGGGGCTGGCTGGGCTCTAGCTCCCTTTGAACACTTAGGGTTTCATCCTTTGAAACAGGGAGCCATGCAAAGCCTCCTTCTTGGACCCCACAGCTCAGCCAGCATCCAGCCCCCTTCCTGCTCCCCCCCCCCTCAGGGCCACGGCAAATAACCGCTTTGAGCTGTGGAAGTTGGGCATCACCCACGTGCTGAACGCCGCCCATGGGGGCCTCTACTGTCAGGGCAGCCCTGATTTCTACGGCAGCAGTGTGAGCTACCTGGGGGTGCCAGCCCACGACCTCCCTGATTTTGACATCAGCACCTACTTCTCCTCTGCAGCTGACTTCATCCACCGTGCCCTCAGCACACCTGGGGGTAGGACTTGGGGCCAGAACCCATATCCCACCCTGCTCATTCAAGGGGAGGATGCCCATTTCCCCTCAATCATCAATATGCTCCCATCCCTGGTTTTTAGAAATCTTCCATTTAGTGCTCCAACATTTTACCTAAAACCATTGCTTCACATATGGGGAAACTGAGGCTAAAATTGAAGGCCATGCCTTGAGTTCAAAGGAGCTCTCGGGCCGGAATCCAGGTCTCACAAACAGCAGAATGATTCTTTCTCTGCAACACTTAGCCTTGGGAAAATTTGGTACCTTATGTGTCTGCCCTAAAGAACTTTCAAATGTGTGTATTTGGGGTCGGGGTGGGACGGCATAGGTTACAATAAAGAAGCCTGGAGGGGCAGGAGCTCCTGCTTTGTGTTCATCCTGAAAGACAGCTGTGCCTCCTGCTATATGACACTGGCCAAGCCAGTGTCCCTCTCTAGACTTCAGTTTCTTCATCTGTGTGATGGGAATGACAAAACGACAGCTCATATCACTCTTTTTTAAATGCCCAAGGCACTTTGACATTCTTTTGTTATTCATTCATCGGCTATTTATTGAATATCTTCTATGTGCCAGACACTAAACTAAATTCAGGGAATTCAGACTTGAACAAGGCAGGGTCCCTCCCCTCATGAAACCTGCCAGTCAAATTGTGAAGTATTGTGAGTGCTACTGATGTGGGAGTGCAAATGTGACGTGCTATGGGAACACAGGGCAGGGGTGGCCAGCCCAGAGGACCAGGGAGGTGGGGGACTTCCCTTTACAAGGACATTCATTGGGCCACATGCAAAAATGATGAGCTGCTCTATGATTCAAGCAATACCTTGAGTGATCAGGAAAGCCCTTAGAAGGAAACCATGTATCAGCTGAAACTTGATGAATGAATAGTAGAAGTTAGTCAGACCAAGATCAACAGGAACATTTTTCAAAATAGTAGGAACAACACATGCTTAAGGCTGGAGGTCAGAGACCATGACAGTTTCAAGGAACTGTGTTCCTTACCCTGTGTTCCTAGAGATGAGGGTTGGGATAGGTTCATCTTGAGATAAGGCTGCAGTTGTCAGGAAGGGCCAGCTCTCAGATGGTCTTGTAAGTCATGTTAAGAATTTGGACTGCATCCCAAGGATAGGCCAAATAGGTGTTGTTACCCATTTGAAAAATCAGGAAACTGAGATCCATGATGGCTGAGTGACTTGCCTGGGGTTCCAGAGTGCACCCAAGGCAGGGTAGGGAATGGAACGAGGGTCTCCACCCCAGGCCTGGATGGGATGGCTGGTGGGAAAGGGTCTTTTACCAGGATGTCTCCCTCAGCCAAAGTCCTCGTGCACTGTGTGGTGGGTGTGAGCCGCTCTGCCACACTGGTCCTGGCCTACCTCATGCTGCACCAGCAGCTGTCCCTGCGTCAGGCAGTGATCACTGTGAGGGAACACCGGTGGATCTTCCCCAACCGCGGCTTCCTCCACCAGCTCTGCCAGCTGGACAAGAAACTGCGGGGCACAAGCCGGAGCTAAGAAGCCAGGTATGGAGGACACAGTCATGAAGACACAGGTGCCATTGGCAATGAGAAGTCACGTAAGGGCCTGGGCAAAGAATACAGGGCTATGTGTGGCTGGAAATTGTGACAGGGGGCCTGCCATGCTCCTCACGCCTCAGGGCTCCTCTTGCCCATTCAAGATCTCACTGGAGCCAGGCAGGTAGTCCTCCTATAGGACCCCTGCCCTGTCATCCTCAGTTCACCCCAATTCTTCAAGCCCCAGAAAGTGGAGAAAGACAAGGAAAGAAGGTGGTAGTAAGCATTACATGGAAGAGGTGAGGCCTTCCTACCTGCTCCAGCCTGTTTTGTCCTGCCTTGAATGGTGACTCATCAAATCCCACCAAAGCAGATGCACAACCAAGCTGATCGGTCCTTCACCTCCCCCATGACATCCTGTGGACTGGGAAGCCAAAAGGGGATATGAGCCCTTGGGAATGGCATGTTCCCTGCCTGCTCTCTCCTCAGACAGGATTTAAGAACCTGGAAGATCAGCAGATCATGCCCAATCACCCCACTTTCTCAGGATTCTTAGAAACCCTGACCGCTAATTCAGCATCCTGCCCATCAGGCAGCTGGTTTGGGGGAGCTGTTTGAGCAGGGCTGTAGCACTGCACAACTTATAGAGGTACCATTTATCAAAATGTGTCACTGGAACCCCTAGGAGTTGTGAAGTGCATAGCCCCGGCAGCTGTAACCAGCAGCTCTGGGGTTTGGGCCCCTGAGGATGAGGGGGCTGCAGAGGGAGGTCCTCTCTCTCCATAAACCTTGAATGCCAAGGCTACCTCATCCTTCTCACCCACACCCACTTGATCTTGCACATAGGTCTCAAGACAGAAGCAGTTTAGGTGACAGCTCTTGCCACTGTCCTAACAAGTCCCAGCCAGCCTGGACCTTGGTGTATCTGCCTGTAATATGAAGCATGTCTCTCTCTGCAGAGTCTGTCCTTACTGCCTGCCACAGGGCTCTGCCACTTTGCGGCTCTGGCACTGACCCTGCTGGTGCTTTTGGAGGCTGTGGCCCATGTGGATGCCAAGAAGATGCTAAGAGCCCAGCGTGGGATCCATCCTCGAGTCTGCCACTCCATCTACTTCCTCCTGTATCCCTCACCCCATCTCGGTCACTGGCTTCAGTCCCCACAGGTGGGAGTAGGCTGCCTTGTTAGCCAAGCCCTGAGATTGCTTGGCCAGGGATCCCAAGTTCCCTGGAGAGAAGGCAGTGGAAGAGGGCCACCGCCACCCCTCCCCCATCTCTCCCGGTGCTTAGGAAATACCGACAGGATCCGTGTGTGTGTGTGGGGGGGGTCTGGGAGCAGGAGTGGGGATGAGTTTCAAGGTATGGGTGTATGATGAGGGTCTCTGGATAACAAGGAAAGTTCCTAATAGGCCTAAATCCAAGGTCTCTAACTGACCAGTCTTGGGAGGGACCTGAAGACCATCTCAGAGACCTTATGGGACAGCGAGTCTGTCCAGGGATAGTCTTCAAGGGAAGGAGAGGATGGCAAAGGGTGGGAGCAGTTTCTGGATAAAGCAGAACAGGGTTGGTGTACAGACCTGCTCTGTAGCCCACTTACACTTGTCTATCTGCCAGTGCTGCCACCCTCAGCTTGAGTCTGCCAGATCTGCCTCCTGAATCAGTTCCATCCTCACCAGCCCCCACCTAAGGGTTGCTGGTGCTGGCAATGCCTCCAGCTGACGCATACTTTTGATTAGTCTCCGTCCTCCTCCGTACGTCCTACCAGCTCCCACTTTGGGCCCTTGCTCCACACTGACCATGAAGGCCAAGGGAGCTTTTATTTATTTTTTCCTTCTTTTTTTGGTGGTGCTGGGGATCAAGCCCAGGGCCTCATATGTGCTAAGCAAGTGCTCTTCCAGAGATCACAACCCCAGTCCTCAGAGGGAGCTTCTAAGATGGTTGGTTTGATCTTCCCCTTCCTGCCCTGTCATCCTGATACACATTCACACAAATGCAGGCAGACCTCAGCTGAGCTGCCTCTGCTCCCAGCAGGGCCAGGGCTGGGGCCTAGGCCTAGGCTTGGGGGAGGTGCCTGGCTGGGCTTGGCACTGACCTGCTGTGAGACTAGTGGATCAGTTGGGAGTGGCAGGGGGAGGTTAGAAGGGGGGGAGCAGACCGCATGCTTTATAATTAAACTCAAATCAAAAAATAGAAACAGCATCAAATGTGCAGAGACAGGCGGCTGGAAGCTGGCAGCACAAATCGCCTGTCAGAGAAGACCACAGCCTGCGTCGGACACCCCCTCAGGTGGGTGAGTGCTCCCAATTCAGGGGGGCCCTGAGCATGCTGGGTAACAGGGTTCAGGGCACAGGGTTGTCAAGCAAGGATGGAGGCTGGATTGAGGGACCAAGTGGGTCTGGGATAAAGGCAGAGATAGACCATAGGACAGTCAGAAAGACCCGGGCTTGAATTCTGACTCCCTCATCAACTGGCTATATGATCTTACTTAACCTCAAAGCCTCAGTTTTCTCATCTGTAAAATGGGAGTGATAATATTACTGGCTTTATAAGGGTACTATGAAGATTTAGTGAGAAAATATAAGCTCTTAGCTGTGTTTGGTACACAGTATGCCCTTTATTAGTAAGTGATAAATATGGTAATTAATCCTGAATAAATAAACACAAAGAGATAAAGACCAACCTCAACCCCCAAAGGGAAGTGGTCCTCTGCCTAGGATACAGCTTAGGCCTGAATGGGTAAGAGTAACTATAGTAATGATAATTAGAATAAAATGCACCATTTATTGGGCATCTCTCACAAGGCAGACCCTGTGAGAGATGCTTTACATTTATGATTTCACGGGATTCTTACAACAGTCTCATGAAAGATAATGGCTCAGAGAAGGCCACACAGACACAAGTGGAAGACCAGAGAATTCTACCCAGGTCTGTCCTCCTCCAAGCTGCATGATGGGCCCAGAACCCAGAGCAGCCCACCTCTGGCAGCTGCCTCCCTCCCTCCTGGGGGCTTCATTCCCTAGCCCCTTACTGTCCTGTCCTGTGATCTCTAGTCCCACCCAGCCTGTGCCCCCCCTTGGGAAAAGGAGGAGGCAGAGAGGGTGAGCAGCAGGGAGGTACAAGAGCTTCACTCTGCTATGGTCGAGGAAACATGGTACTACCAGGCAGGACCCTCTGCCATCCAGGGCTGAAGGCAGCAGAAACCAGGGGAGCTGAAGCCACAGACTGCCCTTCCTTTGGGAGCCTGAGGTTACCATATGGGCAGCTGGGCCTGACTCTGACAAGGTGGACTGTTCACCCCAGGGGGACAGTGGATGGGTGGGGGCATATCCTGAGTATCAGGAGTGAGGCCCTAGGAGGGACCTGACCAAGAGTAGCCTTAAGGCCAAAGAAAGGCTCCATTCTCCAGAACTGGGCTGGGGTCTCTTAAGTATCTGAGACCTGGGCTGGGCTGTAGCAGCCTCTGATCCCTGATCCCTCTGGAGACTCCAAGAGGAACCAGATCCAGTTCCTCACAGCCAAAGTCTGGCTACCTGCTCTCCAGCACAACTGGGCTGCACAGCACCCACTGGCCACTGGGGGGCGGTCTTACCCCACGCCAAATTCAGCAGGCCTGGGTCGACTCTTGCCAGGTTCTCAAAGCTCCATCTGGTCCTGCCAGGCGCTAGAGCAGCCCCACCTGGTGGCTACAGACTAGTGCTGCTGTCGGATGCCTCCAGAATCGAGGTCCTCCTTCACCCCAACATACTACACTACCCTCTGCCCTGTGCTTACTTCATACACAGACCTCTCTCTTGCTCGGAACAGAACCCCAGAGAATTCTGAGAAATCAGGCAATGCCAGGATCTTTGGTATGATAAAGAGAAACAGTGGCCCAGACACCAGGGAAGAATTGTTCCCGCTCAGGACCACAGACTCAGTCATTTGCAGATTTGTAAGGGAAGCCAGTCTCTCCTCCTTCCCTCTAAAGTTCTCTTGCCACCATTCTCAGGTGGCCTCCCATCTTCAGAACCACACAGGGCTAAGAGCTTTCTCTCCCAGAGATGCCAAGGAGGTAGGGGCCCTGGGGTTTGGAAAGGCTGCTGCTTCAGTCCCCAATGCCTACTCCTCCTCTCAGCCCCACCCCCATGGGCTCCAAGGCCCTGTCTGGAATTCTAGCCGCTTCACAGTGCTTGTGTTCTGGACGGAATCTACATTAGCCCTATTCCGTTCACATGCTGAGTCCTGCCCCTGCACCCAGTCCCCCATTCCCGGTCTCAGACCATGCCCTAGGTAGGTGGCAGGCCACTCAGCCTGCCTTGAGAGGTCACAGTGGGAGATGAGGGGAAAAACTGGGTCTTCACTTCCGCCTTGTCCTCCAGCCACCCGCTGGGTGAGCCTGGCCAAGCCGGTGGCCTCCTGGGTGCCTATTTCTCTCTCTAGTCATGCCACCACTTACAACAGGGAAAAGGTGTTCCTCCCAGTTTGCACCTTCCCTAGTTACTGGTTGAGGGGATCAGGGACACTTGGCCAAGAAAGGCCCTCCTTCCCATCACAGCATCAGGCTCAGGTTCTGGTGCCACTGATGCCCCAGATCTGCAGGGTCCCAGACACCCTGAGCCAGCTGACTCCTGACACAACCCACCCCACTCGGGTGAGGCCTGCCGAGCTGCACTGGCCTGAGTCTTGGGGGTAAGGAGGAAAAGCCCGGAGCCTGGAGGCAGATGTGTAGCTCAGCGACACCCAGGCTCCTCTGAGGAGACCATTGGGTTAGGGATCACTCTGGAATCCCCCAAGATGGCAATTGAAAGGCTTGGGGTGGAACTGAAGGTGCACAGAACTGGACTGAAACCCCTGCCCAGCTGCTCATCAGCCACATAGGGTTGGGTGCCACTTAGAAAAACACTCTGAGCTTCTGCATCCTTCTAGGTGAAATAGGGACCTACCATAAGGGAGGCATTAGACTTAGAAGAGGCATTCAATATGGAAATGCCCATGAATATCAGTCCACAGCCCCTGACTCTCATACTGGAGGGGACTCTGATCTCAAGGACCTCCAAGTGGGACCAGCCCTGGAAGTTCAGGGGTGGGGGCTTGAGATGAGCCACCCAGGTTGGGTGCCCTCTGAAAACTGTAGCCTTCTGGAGTTCCTATTCCTATAAGGTACAAACTGACAAGACATTTAAGGGGTGGGATTGACACTGGCTAGCGTCATAAAAAGGGAACCTGAAGGCCTAAAGGCCGAAGCTTCTAACACCCAACAGCCTCAGAAAAGGGCAGGGGTGAGGTCTGCTCAGCAATGATCAGGAAGTTCTAGTTCCCCTTGTTCCTGGGGGAGAAGGGTCTAGGTCCCAGCCCCGCTGAGCTGGTTAATAAGCTCATTCCAAACAGCGGAGGCCCTTCCCACAGCATCCCAAAGGCACCTGGCCTGCACCACAGAACTCCCTGTCCGCAGGACCCACCTTGGGGAGCCTGTCTCCAGCACTGGGGTGTCTACTCTATTTCAGGATGAACTCACTGCAGAAGCAGGATCTCCGGAGGCCCAAGATCCACGGGGCAGTCCGGGCATCTCCCTATTCGCCACCCACGCTGGCCTCGCTGCAGCGCTTGCTGTGGGTCCGCCGGGCCACCATGTTGAACCATATCAATGAGGTCTGGCCCAACCTCTTCTTGGGAGATGCGTGAGTAAGACCTACATGGCTGGTGGAGGTGGCAGAAGGGTGTGAAGTCTCTCCCAGAGTGGAAAACAAGCCTCTCCCAGAGTGCTCCTGGGCAGAGGTGGCACCCTCTGCTTCCTACCATATCTCTTTACATGTTTTTCTTTCCTCTTAAATTATTATAACTCTTAACTGTGGAAATAGAACTCACATAAGAAAAGTGCACAGAACACACATGTCCAAGAAATTGGACGTTTCTTGTGCCCCAGATGCCCCTACTGAATCCTTCTAACTTTTCTCTTTCCCAGGGGATAACCACTCTCTAAGTGTCAAAATCAACATGTCCTTGTTTTTCTTTCAAGTTTTACCACCTATGTACCTAAACAACATGGGTTTGTCTTTTGCCTTTTTTTTTAATTATTTTTCAGTTGTAGTTGGACAAAATACCTTTATTTTACTTATTTATTTTTATATGGTGCTGAGGATTGAACCCAGGGCCTCGCTTGTGCTAGGCAAACGCTCCACCACTAAGCCACAACTCCAGCCCCTTGCCTGTCTTTTAAAGTTACACAAATCATATTGTGTATATTTTGTGGTTGGCAATGATTTGCTTAAAATTGTGAGAGACACTCATGTTTTATGGGTAGCTGCAGTTCATTTATTTTTTATTGCTGTGCAGTATTCCACTGTATGATTATAACACAATTTATCCATTATATTGCATGTGGACATTTGAATTATTTCCACTTTTTGGCAATTATGAACAATGATCCTAGGAATATTTAAGTAACATGAATCCTATAAAAACACATAACTTTCTCTAAGTTGTATATAAGAGAATAGAATTGAGAGTTATTTTTCCTAAAAGTTTTCTGAAATATTTGAAAATATGGCCAGGTGCAGTGATGTACACCTGTAATCTCAGCAGCTCAGGAAGCCGAGACAGGAGGACTGGAAGTTCAAGCCAGCCTCAGCATATTAGCAAAGCACTTAGCAACTCAGTGAGAACTTGTCTCCAAATAAAATATTAAAAAGGGCTGGGGATGTGGCTCAGATATTAAGTACTTTTGGGTTCAATCTCCAGTACCAAAACAAAATGTTTTTTTCAAAAATATGGACCAAATATTTATATTTAGAAATTTTCCTTAATATTTGGAAAATACAGATTAATATCTTAACAATATGGCAAATATGGTATTCCTTCTCCCACACAGATATAATCCTTATAGGCTTTAAAAATGCAAACGCACACACACACATGCCGCAGTCTGGCTGGGCACAATCAGGAGCCACTTGTCAAAAGAAACTAACTTTATTTTTAGAACCACACACGCCAAACAAAACAGCCTCTCAGGAAAAACCCTCAGAGCCCCAACTGCCACCACGGGCTTTCCACAAGCCTCTCTCTCCAACCCAAGCCTCTCTCTCCACCTCCCACAATCCTCCTGCTCTTGAGGCCGATTGGCTGGGTTCACGTGGGCGGAGCCAAAAAAGTCCCCCAATGAGCAACTCGGTGGTCTGAAAGGGCAGGGAAACAGCCCAATGAGCATCACCGCAGAGGAGCCAATCAGCTAGATGTTGCTGGGGCCGCTGTGAGCCAATCATCAGCTGGCAGCTGGAAGTTTGCTGGCAGCTGGAAGTTTGCTGGGGCCCCTTCGGCTGTGGCTCTCAACACACACACACACATACAAAGAACCTTTAAAAAAAATGCAAACACACATACATTCTTTTTCATAGTTCGTTTTTTATAAAAATGGCTATTGCTTTATAATACAGCTCTGTGATCTGCTTTATACAGAAAGCTTTTAAAATGAAATGATAGTACATATTTTTAAGAAATGTTAACATTCTGCTTTGTACTCTATACTTTCACAGGTTCTCTTTTTATATATTTATTTTTTTTTTAGTTGTATTTGGAAACAATACCCAGGACCTCACACATGCTAGGCACACACTCTACCACTGAGCCACAACACAGCCCCACAGGTTCTTGATATAGCATAAACACCTTTCCTTATTTGCCTACATCTACCACAGTTTAGGGTTGTATAGCATTTCATCATTTAGATACACAGTAGTCCCCTTTTTCTGCGGTGGGGGATATGTACCAAGACCCCCAGTGGATACCTGAAACTGAAGATAGTACCAAACCCTATGTATCTTCTGTTTTTTAACCTATTCATATATATATATATATATATATATATATATATATATATGTATGTATCTATGGAAAGTTTCATTTATAAATTAGGAACAGTAAGAGAGTAACAACTAAAACAAAATAGGAGAATTACTATATTAACTAAAGTAAAGGTTCATGAATACAAGTACAATAGAATGACAGTCAATCTAATTGCCCAGATAACTATGTGATGACAAGGGGTGGATAGCATATACACTGTGGATACACTGGACAAAAGAATGATTCACATCCTGGGCAGGATAGTGCAAGATTTCATTCACTCCTCAGAACAGTGCAAAATTTAAAATTTATGAATTGTTTATTTCTGGAATTGACCATTTAATGTTTTTGGACTATGGTTGACTGTGGGCAAATGAAACCGTGTGAAGCAAAACTTCAGATAAGAGAGAACTTAATATCCTATTATAGGATTCTCAGTAGTTTTTTTTCCCTTAATTTTTCACTATCTTAAATATCCCTAGATTCAGTGTACATATATTTGTGGGCACTTTCTGAATTCTTCCTTTTATTACATGCTTAGAAGGAGAATTGCTAGGGACAAGTATATGTACATTTCTAAAGCTTTTTTGGGGGTTGGGTGGGGATTGAACTCAGGGGTACTAGACCACTGAGTCACCTCCCAGCCCTATTTTGTATTTTATCTAGAGACAGGGTCTCACTGAGTTGCTTAGCACCTGCCTCGCTTTTGCTGAGGCTGACTTTAAATTTGTGATCCTCCTGCCTCAGCCTCCCAAGCAGCTGGGATTACAGGGGTGTGCCACTGCGCCCAGCACATTTCTAAGGCTTTTGATGTGTATAGCCCATTGCCCTTCAGAAAAGTTACCCTGGGGGGCTGGGATTATGGCTCAGTGGTAGAGCGCTTGCCTAGCACATGTGAGGCACTGGATTTGATCCTCAGCACCACATATAAATAAATAAATAAATAAAGGTATTATATCCATCTTAACTACAAATATTTTTTTAAAAAGTTACCCTGAATGAAAGAGAGTGTTCAATTTCAACTACAGATGTCCCTCTACTAGGGCAGTTCACCAGTTCCCATCTCTATCCTTGGAGGAAAACAGCAAGTGAAGGGCAAATTCCAACCCAGCTAGAGTTAACCCAGTGAGATCTACCTGCTTATACCCCCTCCAGGTATGCTGCCCGGGACAAGAGCCAACTGATCCAGATGGGTATTACCCATGTTGTGAATGTTGCTGCAGGCAAGTTTCAAGTGGACACAGGTGCCAAGTTCTACCACGGAATGCCCTTGGAGTACTATGGCATCGAGGCTGATGATAACCCCTTCTTTGACCTCAGTGTCTACTTTCTGCCTGTTGCTCAATATATCCGAACTGCCCTCAATACTCCCCGAGGTGAGCTTCTGGGGAAGGAGTTGGGTGGGGTTGGGGGTTAGGCTATCCATTTCTCCAATAGCACTGATGCGTGGGGAGCACAAACCCCATCACCAATCCTCCTACACTATGAAGCAAATAGCTATTACCATTTAGTGTCCCCTTCAGAGACACCCTGGAACAGTGTCAGACATAACTAAAATCTGCTGTGGTCATCAGCATAACCACATGCCTCAGGAAGAGACCAGACATTAGGCAGAAGGCACAAGACCTATAAAGGTTCTTGAGCAGGCCTCTCTAAGATGAGGCTTTGGCACAGAGCTGCAGGGGCAGGTGAGAGGGCAGAACTGTGGTGCGTGTGGGGGAGGGGAAGTAGACATCCCCTGTAATCTGACACAAATTCAGGGGACCCCAGGAGTCCAGGAACCTCCACCTCCAGATGAGTTGCAAAGATGTCAGAGGAAGCACTCTGAGTCAGAAGGGAGTCCTGGCTGCCAACCTTAACTCTGCCGTGACTTGCTATTTGACTTTGAGCCATCCTTCTTCCCTTGTTGGACCTCAGTTGTCCCATTGTACAGGGGTCCCGGCTGCTGTGATGGTGGGCTGAAAGGATGGCGAAGGGTGTCTTCTTTCTAAAGGGGTAGGCGATTCAGGAATAGGCATCTGACACCTGGCTTGGGTCTCCCCACAGGCCGCGTGCTGGTACACTGTGCCATGGGGGTAAGCCGCTCTGCCACACTTGTCCTGGCCTTCCTCATGATCTACGAGAACATGACACTGGTAGAGGCCATCCAGACGGTGCAGGCCCACCGAGATATTTGCCCCAATTCAGGCTTCCTCCGGCAGCTCCAGGTTCTGGACAACCGGCTAGGGCGGGAGACGGGGCGGCTAATGACCTGACAAGCAGCCCAGAGCCCTGGCTCTCCATCCAGCATAGCCCAACCTGACTAGCCTAGACCTGGGGACGGCAGCCTCTGCTGTTTCCAGAGATCCTGAGATGTAAACAGCAAGTAGGGGCTTAGCTGAGGCAGGGGCAGGGAGAGCTGGGTGGTGACCTTTAGCAGGTGGATTCCCCAACCCAATCAGAGATTCTTTATGCAAAAGAGAATTCAGTCTGTCTCTATAATAAAACGTTCATCATAATAAAGATAAGAGACCTTCTGGTGATTTGTGAGAAAATGGCTTACTCTGCAAGGGCCAGGAGGTTCCAGAGAGCTTGCCAACTGTGTTTCAGCATGATGGCAGCCTGGAGAAAAAAAGAGTGAGAGTCCGTGCCAAGGCTTAATGAGGAAGGAGGGCAGGTGAGGACTGGTTGGTGATGTTGACCCTGGATGCAATACAGAGGAGTCAGGGTACAAGTGCTGAGGCTTAGATAACTTCTTCCTATCTTGTCCTTCTCATACCCTCACCCTAGGGTTGCGTTGTCTGATCAAGACCAAAGTTCCATGTGTTCACATGTTCCATGTGTCCTGTTGGCCCACCCTACCCAAAGCCAATAATAGAAATGTGCTGTTAGGGCTGGTAATATAGCTCAGTGGTACAGCATTTGTCTAGCACGTGCAAGGCCATGGGTTAGATCACCGGCACCACAAAACAAAACAAAAAACAAACAAACAAAAAATCCCCCAACACTTGCTGAGCACAAACAGCATCTTTTGGAACCAAGTCAATTACACTCCACTTTAAAAAGGACTGCTTAGCATTACAAATACCTCAAAATGAAGACAATAAACAAGAGAAGGAAGATGGGCTTAGGGAGGAGACATTCCAGAAATTCTAGGTGAACAACAGTTGTATGATGGAACAAAACATTTAGCTCTGAGTTTATTAATTCTCATGCTACAATAAAATAAAGCACTATGGAAAGCCCCTCTCCAGCTCCCACTTACAAATGATACATGCTCAGGTACTTAGGAGGTTTAAATAGGCTGGCTTTGCTTCTTCCTCTCTGGTTGCTCCTATTTATCCCTTACCTGTTCTGGCGGACCCTCGAATGTCAAGGTTTCTCAGGGTGCTATTCTCTGCCTCTTGTCTCCCTTGGTGTTTCCGCTCTCCTGGGGGATCCTCTGCTCTTATGACCTCAGTGAGCATCTCTAGACTACTGATCCCAGACATATATGGCCCAATTCTCTTTCCTGAGCTCAAAACCTCTGCATCCCAATGACCATCCACATCTCAATATTACAACTGAACTTTCAACTCAGCTGGCTTTCCATCACCATGCACCCAGACCCACACCTCTTCCTAGGTTCCTAATTCAGTGAAAGGTTCTTATAGCCAAATAGGTGACAAGTGTCATCCTGGACTTCTAAATGCTCCCTGGATTTGCCACTTAGCTCCTCTTCCTGGTGACCACCAGAGTTCCAGCTGCACCCTGCAGGGGTCTCTCTGGCTCTAGCCCTGCCCCTCCAAGGCAGACATCTTACTGATCACATGACCCTTTCACTTAAAATTCCCAAAGTACAAACCTTGCCAGATTATAAAAGCGCTTCATCACCTGAGACCTTCTTATATCTCCACCATGTTGAAACTCTGTTCCTATACATACTACGCAAATAAGAAACAGTAAAGTTTCCAGAATGCACCTCCCTCTCTCTTATCTTGGTTGCACCACCTCAGTGCACCACCCTTGCCCTGTTTTACTGGGCTAACTCCAGTTTCTCCTTGAGGTCACACTTTCGATGTCACTTCTGGGAATCCCTCCCAGCACCCTCAAGCTTGGTAGCCCCTCTGTGGGTTACCAAAATACCAATCTGTCCCTTATCACATCACCTGTCACTCCAAATGAAAATTGCCTGGTGTCTTCCCTAAGCTCGATGGCCCTATGGTTCCTCTGGCTATGATTATACATTCAAGTATGGCTCTGTGGATCCCTGAATGAGTAGTTGTAGCCACTTGTCCATCTCTCCAGAGGCCATGAAGGGCAGTGGATCCTAACAGGCCCTAGGACTATTAGGAAGGTACCGCCTCTGCTCCCAGTTCTTCCTGCATGCAGTATCTTACCAGGACACCCTGTTCCCAGCATATTTTATCACTCTTGTGGCCCCTTTGATCCTCCCCCTCACTCCCCACCAAGGCTCTCTGAGGCCAACTCTGTCCTCTCCTAGGGGACTAAAGAGCTTTTGCCCTTTTCTGACATCTATTGGAGGGCAAGTACTTTTCTTTTGTGCAAATTTAGAAAAGATGTCCTCTCTGAATAAACCAAACTCAGGCAGAAGCACTTCTGAGCAATCAGCTTGGTGAAGAAAAATGTGTTTCCTTCTCCCAATAAGACAGAGCCCCAAGTCAGGGTGCCCAACTGAGTGAGTCAACCTCTGGCTGAGTTTTAGCTTCTATTCATCCCTTTTAAATACTTAATCTACATACATAAATGTGTACTACCTTGGTTGGGAGAGATGTATATCATGTATATCTCCATTTTACAGACCAACAAACTGAGGCTCGGGGGAATGAAGCAGGGCTGGAATGCTTCTTCCTGGCTCCAGGACCTCTGGACCCTGGCTCAGGCCAAGTACTGCCCATCCAGCTCTTCTGCTCACTTCTCCGTGGTACTTAGTCCTAATACCAGCTGTGGACTGCCTCAGGTGCTCTCTGCTCCTTTTCCAGAGGGCGTAAGTGTCCAGCTGGAGGACAGCAGAAGGGCTGGTGTCACTGTGCCGAGCAGAGTCACAGGGTCCAGCCCCAACCAGACAGGGCTCTTCTCTACTCTAGGGATGGGAAATGATTCTTAATATGTCCTTAGGTTGGAGGGGCCTATAATTCTCCAGAAAAAAACAAAACTAGTCCCAGCTCAACAGCCCAATCCACCCAGCCCCGATTCCCTTGCCTGACAACTCAGTCCTGTTGCTATTTCTTGCTCATGCACTGTCAGCAGGACCCAAAATAGTGGCTCCAGAAGGCAGTCTCTAAATCATCATCCTGTTCTGCTGGCTGGGGTGGGGTGTCTAGAGACGAGGACAGAGCCTCATTTGGGGCCCTGGGCCTGGGTTTCAGCACATCACCTCCTTGAGGCTCTGTGGGTTGGGCTTGGAGTCTGGGGCTGCAGGGGAGAAGGGAGGAAAGCCATGAGGAAGGAGGCAGGTGGCGGCAAAGCCAAACATTTCCCAGGAGGGCACCTCCCATGGATGTCTTCCTGCCTGCCACACTCACTGGAAAAGTCTGTGACAATGGCCACTCTCCCTCTTCTCTAGAGCACCTTGTGATAGAAGTGGTATATAAAAGAATGACTTTGGAGTCGGATTCCCTAGGTTCAAATCCTACTTCTGCCCCTCAACAGATATGTGACCTCAGTTAATCTCTCCATAGGTCAATTCCGTAACCATAACATGGGATTAATAATTACTGTATAGGGGCTGCAGTCATAGCTCAGTGGTAGATTGCTTGCCTCGCATGGGTGAAGCACTTGGTTCGATCCTCAGCACCACATAAAAATAAATAAAGTCAAGATATTGTGTTCATCTTTAAAAAAATCTTAAAAAAAATCACTATATAGGATTGTTGTTAGCAATGAACAGGGCTTATAGAAAGTGCTTTGCACAATATCTTGATAAGTTCTCAAAAATGATAGCTGGGGGTTAACTCAGTGATACAGCATGTGCTTAACATGTGAGAGACCCTAGGTTCCATCTCCAGCACCACAAAAAGAAAGAAAAAAACATATTAAAAAATGATAGCTTTGATGATAATCATAGCACATAGTAGTACAGAGGCTCCTGGCATCATCTGTTACCCAGAACCACCCCGTCTGAGACAAAAAGTTGGCTGTGTTCACAATATGGTGAATGAAGGGATGAATAGCTAAACATTTGCTGGCCTAAATACAACATAGTATCCTGGATTGAATCCTGCAACAGAAAAAAAGAAATAAGTGGAAAAACTGCTGAAATCAGAATAAAGTTTGTGCTTTTATAGCGTTATACCAATGTTAATTTCTTTGAGAAATACAACATAGATATGTAAGAAGCTGGGGGATGATACACAAGAAATGTCTCTGCTATCTTTACAAATCTGCTGTAAATCTAAAATTACTTTAAATTTTAAAAAAATTTTATTTAAAATTAAAAAAAATGAAATGATTTGCTGACACTTTATATAGTGAGGTACTGCACTAAATGCTTTAAAGGCACACTTTCTTTTCTATATTTATTTCTTCAGAAAAAAAAACATGGATCAAATATAACAAAGTGTTAAGAATTGATCATACTGAGTTGGGGGAGTACAGATATCTGTTGAAATACTTTTTGTATTTCTTTTTCCTTTGGTTCTACTGGGAATTGAACCCAGGGATGTTATTCTACTGAGCTACATATCCCTAGTCCTTTTTATTTTTATTTTGAGAGAGTGTCTCACTAATTTTCCCAGGCTGGCCTTGAACTTGCAATCTTTCTGCCTCAGTCTCCCGAGTAGCTGGGATTACTAGCATTACTAGCATCTAGGTGTGTGCCACCATCCTGGTTTCTTTTTTATATTCTTAAAGTATTCCATAATTTTAAAAATTAAAAATAAACAAATCAACTAACCTCCAAATTAGAAACATCCCTCTCTACATATTTAGGTCTTGAAACCCATTAAGTCAAATGGATTTTTGGAAGTATTCTGAATTAAAACTATAATTATTACTGGCTTTAGGCCTAAAATACTTCAAATTTATAAGTTATCCTTTTAAAACCTGCAAGAGGCTTTATTATGGATAATCTCGCTTTAAGAAAAAAGGTAATGAAGACCCAGTTTATAGTATTTAGATGAAATAACTGTGGTTGAAGAGAAGTTAAGCCAGTATGTTAAATATTCCATCATTTCTTTTACCCCTTACAACCCTGTGGGTAGGTCCTATTATCACTGTTCTAGAGACAAGAACACAGGTGCAGAGAGATTAGGCCAGTTTATCTGCTAATATTAATTGAGAGCTTATTATATGCCAGGGCTAAGCTAATGGCTCTGGCAAAAAAAGCCTCAGTGGCCTAAACTCAACAAAGTTTTATTTTTTATTCACAACACATGTGGATGGAGGGACAGGAGAATAAACATGGAGGATGTAGAGAGCAGCTATATCACTTCCCTCTCAAGTTCCAAGGGGCTTAACGCAGTCACATGGTCACAACTAATTTTAGGAGAGGATGGGAAATGGTCTAGGATGACCCCCAGAAAGAAAAGGAAACTCTAGATGC